TGCACTTGTTTCTAATAGCTTCTTGTTACTACTAGTAAGGCACTTGTCACTAGAAGCGATGCACTTGTTCCTACAGATAAGATGTTTACAAATATGCAGTTTTCAATTAGCAAAGTTCCCCTCTTTCTCTCTCCATTTCTTGTGAGTGTGTGCGTCGCTTTGCGTGTGCGTGACATGACAAACATCCCATGTTCAACAAGGCATTTTCACAACAGGGCTGACAACAGCATTTTTACGTGCCCTTTGAAATACACTAGAGCAAATCACTCTGAAACTTCCAGAAACCTTAAGGCGTTTTAACCACCTGATTATTTGAAGCTTCCGGAAACTTCCTTGAGTTCAATTTTTGAACTTCTGGAAACTTCCTGGTTAGGTTTCATAATCTTGCTCAGATCAGTAGCTGGACTTCCTTGCTACTGATCTGAGCAAGATTAATTTCAGTTTGAAACTTCCTGAAACTTCCAAGTTGTGAGCAGCATTTAAATAAAAGAAGACCTTTAACAAGAACCCAGGCTACTAATTAGGTTGGAGGCCATGGCTTTGATGTTGGCTTTGTTCAGCTCCGAGAGTTTGAGCTCAGGTCACGCTCTCTGCACCAGTTCACGGCGCGTTGGCTGAAGTCAGCTAGGCTTCCCCGGCAGCCCGTCGTAGACGATGCTAAAGCCGCCTGTTTCGCGTTCAACAGTGCACCATGAAAACCGGGGGACAGGGGACAGGGCACATTTGGAGAGTAGATGAAACAAAGACATTAAACAGAATTAAACAAATTCCAACAGAAAAGGAACATGAATGGAACTGATAAGATTCAGTTTCTTCACGTGCTTGTTTTGAACTAATTCGTTTCGCATTCGGGTTCACAAAGCAAGGACTGTTACCCTATCAAATAGTGATCATCATTGATCATCTATAGTTTATTGTTTGCCGGGTTGCCATGATCACCTTGATTAACCAGAAGGTTCCCTTTGCTCACTAGACAGCCACTTGTAATTCACTTCTATCTCACCGTGCCTGGCCATATACAGCCTGCTCATGAGCTACTTGTTCAATCTCGTTCATCCAAGTCGCATTGGGATGTGACTTAGCCAGGTTCCTGTTGTGACTTTTCCAGGAAGCACAGAAACAAGTGTTGGCTCCTGAAGTAGAAACTCTGCCTTCCCGATCACCGATCTGGAAAAGGCGGGTGGTGACTTGTACATACATCAGTGTGTGTGTGTCACTACATGAAATCTGAGTCCCTGGAAAGCTCCAAAGCTGTTTCCCAACCCAAAAGCTGTTTCCCGAGCGTCCCAATTCCCACGAACCCTTCTGTGCAGGATTCCGAAACCCCACGAACCCCAGCACCGCCTGAGCCTAAGACTCTCTTCGTGAGATAGTAGGTTTGATTGAAATCCTCAATTCCCGAGGTCCAAGCGGCTCGGCGAACGAAGTGATTGAACGGCTCGGCGAAGAAACGCGGCATGTGCTAAACACCAGCTGCGCGAAAACACCAGGACATGTGCTTTCCAATTGTTCTTGGTTCAAGTATAAGTCTTTGTTCATTTATGTGTTCACATTCCCCCTTGAAAACTGTTCCAAATCCCCTGCATATCACCCCTGGTTCGCTCCTCCTGCCCATGGTTTTGGAGTGCAGTAAGGCAATAAGGCAATGTCTCTGAGGCCCCAAATGGAGGCTCCTAGGGGCTCTTAGCTTAGCTGCAATGTTCACTTTCACCTCGGCCGAAACGTTTTCCTCTGGTGCAATGTTACATGGAACACGATGAACCTGGAGCATTTAAGTTCGAGGTCTTTGTTCATTCAGGCATGGACGCCTTCTCTCGATCATCTCTCTCTCTCTCTCTCTCTTTCCGTAAGCAAGCAGAGCTGATTGCCTGACCAGCAAGATTCTTCGATAAGGATCATCTGAGAACACCGGTGGCTCCGTTGTTCCACATCTTATGTTATTTGACCCAGGTCTTGGCTTGGCAATCACCATAAGAAGGGGTCTCCTTCTTTGATAGACGAAGAGGCAAAAAAAAAGAACTTCTGCTGTTGCATTCAAGTGCGATGGCCTCCAACCCAATAGCAATGGCCTCCAACCTAGTAGCGATGGCCTCCAACCTAGAAGCAATGGCCTCCAATCTAGTAGCGATGGCCTCAAACCCATGAACTCTGTTTCCTTTCCGGTGTCCCTTTTTCTCATCTTTCGACACTCGCGTTTCACGTGCAAAGACCCTGAGTCTGCTGCCCAGCGCAGTGCACCTGCACGACCCAGGTAGCCCAGCAAATACTCCCGCCTTGGCGCTCGCTCTCTCCCTCTCTCTCTCTCTCTCTCTCTCTCTCTCTTTTCGTTCAGGTGCTTGCTCACATGGATCGACCTGATTTCTGAAAGACATGGAAGCCCCCGGTGACTGACGGACGATGCTTTGCCAGTGCGATCCAATTCCGAAGTCAACAGTTTTCGGATGTCCTTCTTAACAGAGTTGGCAAGGGTCTTGCACACACGCTGGTCTTCCTCCAAAAGTACACCAGCACGGCTGCAACCGTCTCTGTCCGGTTTTGTCTTCATCTCAACGATCTCCATCTGCTTGGTTCGACCTGGACAACTCATGATCATGATCCTTTTTCCTTGTCCTTCTAGGGCCTTCTTACCTCCGTGTCATGGTGAAACTTTCTGCAGCTTTGGGCCTCCGCGATGTTGGCTGTTGCTCCTCCTTTGGTTGAATCTGTCATACTTCTCCCTGCATTCTTCCATGCCGTGGCCAGAAGTGGTCTAAGTCCACAGGAACCAGAAATAAGCGCAGCCTGCCAAAATGTTGGCGTCCTCTGCTCCCCAACTCCAGTTCTTCACAGCCACATGATGCGACGATCAATTTTGCCATCTAACTCAGCCAACTCGTTGCACGTGTCTCTCCCCGTCGACCGCGACCACGTCGACACGCCAAGACCAGCCTCCGGGTGGTTCAAACATCCCAGGCTGAACCGCTTGGGGAACCATGAGGAACCACCCGGACTTCGCTCGAAACCGGATCCACCATCCTTTGACTTGAATGCTTTGATCCCCGAATTCCTCGACAAAACCCAACGAGCAGGTGAGGAGCAAGGAGACCGGTAGAGAGAGAAAGAATGTCCCTATACGAGAGGCATGAACATGTGCAGTCAAGTTGGATCGCCGGGCATCTGCAGTCAACCATGCCTACACACCCTCGAACCACCAAAAAGAATCTGGTGGCAACCGTGTTTTTTTAATTCGGTTAGTCCGTTTGTTTGTTTTACGTGTTGGCTGTTTTGCGGCCGTTTCCAGGTTTTTGTTGTGCGTTTTGTCCGACGTTGGAAGATCCAGGAATGGATTGTTCGGTTCAATGTTGAGGCGATTTGGAAATTGGACTTGATCCACTTCCAAGTTTTCTAAATAAGGAACAAGAAGCTACTAGTAACAAAGGGCATCGCTACTAGTAACAAGAAGCTATTAGAAACAAGAAGCTATTAGTTGGGGGATGTTGGGAGCATCCTTGTTAAACCAAACTCTTGGACCAGATCGGACCCCAAAAGACCTGCCCTCGATTCCAGGAGTAGAATGAGCAGAAGAATCATAGAAGTGGAAAAAAAAACCTGAAACTATGAAACATAGTAGCGTCCTTGCTCCTAGTAGCGATGCCAGGAGCCCCGTTCATAGCGTTCTTGTTCCTAGTAGTAAGGCCAGGAGTGACAGAATTCGGTGAGTCGCCCCAACTTCATGTCACAACCTCAAGTCGAGACAATACCTCGAGGTCCAAAACCCCATCCATCTATCCATCCATGCCATCGCTAGATTGGAGGCCATCGATCAGTTCCGCCGAAACCGAGGCGTGTCCATTCTCTCCGGCTCCGGCGTCTCACGGTCTCGCCAGGTGGCTCGTCCTCGGACCTGGAAAAGGGCGAAACGAGTCGACGAGAAACTGGAGACGAGGTGAAGATGGGCGAAACACGGTTGGTTGGTCCGAAGAGTTTTGGGATGTATACCCATGTTTCGTCCATCTTCCAACGATCCAAGGATTTGGATGTATTCTTTCCATACTAGTACTTTATAGCCTTGGCTGTGGCCAAATGGTAGCCCTGGCTGTGGCCAAATGGTTGCGTCAAGAGAAATGTTTCTGGGACCAAACCATATCAGGCCACATGGAACCACATGTACGCAACTAGACAAGAAGAAATGCCTGTGGACCACACGTTTTGCTCAACCAGTACCAGCCATTGCCGTTTTGAGTGTTATAGGGTCTGGCACATGAAAGTTCAGAAGCATGTGCGTACAGAAAACAAAAGTGATGATTGGATGCGGGGGTTTAGATGACACCAACAACAAAGCTATGAAGATGGAAGCGATGACAATGTTGTGAAACGAAACAAATGACAAAGGTATGCAAACCGATGACAATGGTATGAAAGCCGAAGACAATGTTGCGAAACCCATGTTTCCCCCCGCACAAAACTAAATCGCATGGTATCACATGGTTATCTGATGACAATGTCGTGAAAAACGATGGCAAAGTTCTTTAACCAAAGAGAATATATAAGGAGCTTTCAGGGCCGCGAATGGAGCACCGAAAGAAAGAAGAAAACAGGCCACACACTGCTGGTTTTGGGCCGGCCAATATCCAACTCAGGTCATTCAGCCCAGGCACAGCTGTGCGTTCAGGAACCACACATCTTCAGTGTCGACATCAATGCCTTTGGCAGTGCCCAACCTTGGGTGATGCTACAGCTTGCGGCTTTGCACTAAGAAGCACCCGGCACCCTTTTGTACTTGTGGTTTCATGCTGAAAAGCATCTTTTTTGGGGACATGAAGCAGCTCGGTTGTTGTGGACGTTCAAGCTTCCACGGCTCACCCTACTGGGCTACTGGGTTGAATGATTTCCCCATGTCTGAGCCGTAGAACATCAGGAATCAATCATGTGTTGTCACCGTGTTGCGAAGACGAACAACCCAAGCAACCCTGCAAAGATCAAAGGGTCGCTGCTCTCTTCTCTGTCGAAAGGATCGATCAAACGTGGGTTGATGATGAAGACTATTCTGAAACCTACTGCTTTGGCGTCTATCCGCTGTTAACTTATGGGCATCGCCATTTGTTGGCGGTCCCCTCTGATTTACCAGTTCCCTTTTCGAAACGACCCTGGCTGCACTGAGTCACTCCATCATACTCCAGCGTGGGGCCAAAAGGAAAACGCACTTCGGGTTCTCCTGGAATGAAGGGGACGAAGCTCCAACGAAGTCATCAAACAGTAACATCACTCCACTGGTTGGATGACATCTACAAAAAATGTGTTCTAAATGACCTGTTTGGCCGCTGTGATGGGACTCCCTTGGCAAACTAGTCCTCATTCGCCGCTTGTATGAACATTGCTTTCATCCCAAAGTCTGCACTTTCACAAACTGTTTGACAGGCCAAAAGAATTCCAAATAGTAACTTCTTGTTCCTAGTAGTACGGCCGGGAGCACCTAGTAGCTTCTTGTTCCTAGTAGTACGGCCAGGAGCACCTAGTAGCTTCTTGTT